GTCTCTCAGTGTCTCTGTCTCACCGTATGTCTCTATCTGTGTCTCTCAGTGTCTCTGTCTCCCCGATGTCTCTGTATCTCTCTGTGTCTCTGTCTTACCGTATGTCTCTGTGTCTCTCAGTGTCTCTGTCTCACTGATGTCTCTGTGTCTCTCTGTGTCTCTGTCTCCCCAATGTCTCTGTGTCTCTCTGTGTCTCTGTCTCACCGATGTCTCTGTGTCTCTCAGTGTCTCTGTCTCACCGTATGTCTCTGTGTCTCTGTCGTTCTCCACTTCTCTGTATCTGTATGTCTCTCTCTCTGTGTCTCTGTTTCTCTTTATGTCTCTGCATCTCTCTGTCTCTCTGTCTCTGAGGCTATTTTTGTCTCTCTTTCCCGACCTCAGCTCTCCCCCCAGTCCTGTGCCAAAGCCTCCCCAATTAGCCCTTCTTTCCACCTGTCTCTGACATTGCCCCACCCCCTGTAGGTTCTTGGGGGGTCCACATCATCGGAGGCCACGAGGTGGTCCCCCACTCCCGGCCCTACATGGCGTCCGTGCACTTCAGAGGCCAGCACCACTGCGGGGGCTTCCTGCTCCATGCCCAATGGGTGGTCTCGGCCGCCCACTGCTTCCGCAACAGGTGAGCACACCTGGCTGGCCCCAGGACACGTGGCACCGTATGGGGAGGGCACCTGTGTGCATGAGGCTGGACTCCAGTCAGTGGGGGGCTGGGGACACTGGACGGGACAGGGCTGACCCCACCCCTTGCCCTTGGAGGGCCGTGCAGGAGGGATCCGAGGGGCCGGATTCACCAGGCGGCACGGGAGAGAAGGTGCGGCAAGGGAAGTGCAGGGAGAAGCCACAGTGTGACTGTGCTTGAAACAATTAACTGTTATAATAATTATCACGTTCATTCTCACTGTTATAATTTCTGTTAACATTAGTATCGCAATTGTTGATACTATACTTGAGAAGGGAGCGGTAATAAAGACAGTATTATATTTGTTCTAAGTATACTTTTACAATAATTAATCTTGCAACCACTGTTGATATTGTAACTGAGGTGGAAATTTGTCCTTGTTGTTGTTAGGTGCTGTTGAGTCAGACCTGACTCAGAGCGACCCCATGTACAACAGAACGCACCACTGCCTGGTCCTGCCCCATCCTCACAGTTGTCGTTATGCTTGAGCCCATTGTTGCAGCCACTGTGTCACTCCATCTCATTGAGGGTCTTCCTCTTTTTCGCTGACCCTCTACTTTACCAAGCATGATGTCTTTCTCCTGGGACTGGTCCCTCCTGATAACATGTCCAAAGTACGTGAGACGAAGTCTCATCGTCCTTGTGTCTAAGGAGCATTCTGGCTGTACTTCTTCCCAGACAGACTTGTTCGTTCTTATATAGTAATAAATATTATAATAATAATTGCTGTTAGTTGCCTTCCAGTTGATTTAGACTCACGGTGACCCCGTGTGTGCGGAGTAGGGCTGCTCCATAAGGTTTCAGAAGCAGATCGGCAGGACTGTCTTCCAGGGGGCCTCTGAGTGGGTTCGAACTGCCAGCCTTTTGGCTAGTAGTCCAGCCCTTAACCGTTTGCATCACCCAGTGGGGACAATACTTACTGTATTTGTTGTAAATATATTTTGATAACAATGTGGCAAATATTGTCATTACTGCTATAATTGAAGTGGGAATAGTAACAAATATGGTAAGTATTATATTCATCCTAAGCATATTTTTAAGAAGCCCTGGTGGCACAATGGTTAATCACTCAGCTGCTAAGTGAAAGGTAGGCAGTTTGAACCCACTCATCAGGTCCGCAGGAGAAAACACTTGGCGATCTGCCTCTGTAAAAATTATAGCCTAGAAAACCCTATGCGACAGTTCTACTCTGTCACATGGGGTCACTATGAGTCAGAGTAGGCTCCAGGGCACCTAACAACGAAGAAGCATATTTTTATAACAATATTGCAACTACTGTCATTAATACTATAATTGAGGTGGAAATGGTAACAAGTATAATCATTATATTCATTATACTTTTCTAATAACATTGTAACTTGTTATTAGTATATGGAGGTAGGAATGGTAATGAACATAAGTATTACATTTGTTCTAAGGATATTTTTACAATAATTATTAAAGTTAACATTGCAATTATTGTCCATGTTATAATGGAGGTGGGAGTCGTGACAGAAGCATCACCATGGGGCTGGCGTGAGGATGAAATGGACTGCTGCACCCCCATTTTGCAGATGGGGACACTGAGCCCTCACACCAATCATAGTCCTGCCCCCCTCCCCACAGGGACCCCCTCGAGGGCCTGGTAGTGCTGGGGGCCCATGACCTTCAAGCCCCTGAGCCCACACAGCAGGTGTTCAGCATCAAGCAGGCCTTCATACACCCCAACTACCAGCCATCCAGTCATGCCAACGACATCTGCCTGCTGAAGGTGAGCCTGTGGGATGGGGCTGGCAGAAGGGCCGTCGGGCACCAGATACAGGTCTGGCTGATCCCTGGCTGCCCGTGATGTCTGACTTACGTTTTACAAACAGCAGAAGGGATCCTGTGAGCATCTGAGTCAGGTCACATCCCTCCTCTGCCCAGAACCCTCCATGGCTCCCACCTACTCCGGGACAGAAGCCCAAGTCCTCCTGTGCCCAAGGGCCCTGCTGCATCTTCATCCATCCCTCTGTGAAACCCCAAAGCCAGGGACCCACTGCTCTGGTTTGCCCAACCCATCGTACAGATGGAAAAACTGAGGCTGGGGGTTAAGGATGTGCCCAAAGTCACGTAGTGACTACCAAAACTAGGGTCCTGAGCCACCCATTCCACAACCACTGACTGGTCTCTCACTGTGTGCGGGGGCACTAGGGACAAGCAGGCCTCATGCTGGCACCCACAGAACCCTAGTTTAATCGAGTTGCAGCCAGGTAAACCAGCCTTGTCAGGGGCCCATGGGAGCCCAGAGGAGGCACCTGTGCCAGCCTGTGAGTCTGGGAGGGCTTCCTGGAGGAGGTGACATCTAAGCTGAGAACTGAAAGCTGAATAGGAGTTCCAGGCAGGTGGTACAGTGTGAGTGGAGGGGTCCCAAGGAGCACCAGTCGATTCATTCTGGCTGGACAGGAAGGCTGAGGCTGGAGGGGCCTCAGGGGACTTGAATGGTGGGCTGAGAGGCTCAGGTTTTATCCGGAGGGTGATGGGGAGCTATGGGAGGGTTTAGAGCTGGGGAGAAGGTGGGGATTAGAAAGATCCCTTGCACAGCTGAGAAGATGAGGCTGGAGGCCCAGAGGCCGCGGGAGGCCAGAGGCCGGGTCCAAGGCGGGGGTGGGGGTGGCGGTGGGGGATGTGTGAGGCCTGACTGGGGGGACGGGGTGGGGCGGCAAAAGGAGCAATGTCTTCTGACTGAGTTTGGTGAAGGCTTCCATCAGGGTGGAAGAGACCAAGAGTCACACATGGGTAAACGGAGGCAGGGGCAGCAGTGGAGGTGGAGGTAGAGCTAAACTGAGGCCTCTCCCTGCAGCTGAACAGCTCGGCTGTCCTGGGCGGCGAGGTCGGCCTGCTGAAGCTGCCGCAGAAAGGCTCCAGGCAGCCCAAGGCTGGGGCGCTGTGCCGGGTGGCCGGCTGGGGCTTCAGGTCGGACTTCGAGGACCCGCCTCCTGCGCTGATGGAGGCGGAAGTCCGCGTGCTGGGCCTGGACGCCTGCAACAGCTCCTGGTGTGGCCAGCTGAGCCCCGCCATGCTCTGCACCCGCAGTGGCGACAACCAGCGGCGCGGCTTCTGCACGGTAAGATCCTCTCTCCCCGCCCCATCCGCTTGCCCTGTGGGGAAACCGAGGCCCACCGAGAGGGTCAGGGCAGGCCTTGAAGACTGAGTCCCACCTGTGGCCAGAGGGAGACGCTGAGGTCCGAGAAGGGCGGGGAGTTGCAGTGGGTGGCAGGGCTGCCGTGTACGCGCGTGCAGGCCCCGCACTGCAAGAAGCAGGTCGGCCTTGTGGAGTTATACAAGCATTGTCCAGCAGGGGGCAGTGACAGGTCTCGAGAAAGCAGCTGCTCCTAAGACTCTTTATGAACTAATAGCAGTGGTTCGGGACACAGAGGCCTCTGTGAGGCGAGCAAATTTGCGCTGAGACTTGAAGAAGCCTCTAGAAGGTCTGAGGGCAGGGCCTGCCAGGCAGAGAGACCGAGGGCGGCAGGGCTGCCGTGTTCGTGGGTGCACGCTCCGCACTGCACAAAGCACAGCTGCCGTATCGAGTTATACAAGCACTGTCCAGTAGGGGGGGCAGTAACAGGTCTCAAGGACACGGAAATGCCTGGAGGCTAAAACCAGTTTGGTTTGCCCCGGGAACAGCCGCACTGGTGTGGCTGAAAGTGAACGAGCAAGCGGTAGAGGAGGTACGAGGTAGACAAGGAGGAGGAGGCTGGATCCTTAGGGCCTTGAAGGCCGAGGTGAGGAGTTTAGTCTCTTCCTAAGAGCAGTAGGGAGCCATGGAAGGGGTTTGAGGCAGGGAGGGTCATGATCAGATTTACATGTAGAAGCTCCTTCAGGGAAACCGAGGCCCAGGGAAGGGCCCCTGACCTTGCCTTTCCCTCCATCCCCAGGCAGACTCCGGGGGGCCCCTGGTGTGTGGGAGCAGGGCCCACGGCCTCGTCTCCTTCTCGGGCTTCTGGTGCGGGGATCCCAAGTACCCCGACGTGTACACACGGGTGTCTGCCTTTGTGACCTGGATCCGGGGTGTGGTTCGGAAGGACCTGCGCGGCACCACCACAGCACCCTGCCCGGGCCCCCCGGGCCCCTTTCAGGTACTGCCCGAACCACAGCCTTGCTGGGTATTTGAGTGAAACAGCCAAATCCGCACATCAGTTCCCAGCCTGGAATACTCCGTGGCTGGGCAGGGGGCCATGGGGACCCGAGAACCCGTGAAGCCTTTTGGGGAGGGGGGAATCAGTTCCAAACCATGAAAAGAAAAGTGCCGAATGGAACGGAATAAAGTGTTAACTGGGAATCCAGCCACGAAGGGTCCAGCTGCTCCCGCTGTGGGCTCCAGGGCCCACCCTGCCCCTCTGCCATTCCCTCCCCTCGTGACCTGGGGGCCTTGAGCAGTCCTTCCCTCACCCTCCTGTCTGGCTTCTCCTGCATCATTCTGTCTGGCCCCACCCCTCCCCACAATGTCAGGGAGGAGTCGGTGATGTTTTAGTTACCATTTCCAATACAAGCCCGGAGCCCCCAGACCCCAGCCATGGGGACTGTCAGGCCTGTCCAGACCAGGGCCCCTCCCTACCCTCTCCACCTGCCTGGATTTACGTATCCACACCTAATACTTCAAAGTGTTAAAAAGCAACGATGTCACTTTAAGGACTAAGGCGCGCCTGACCCAAGCCATGGTATTTTCAGTCGCCTCAGAAGCATGTGAAAGCTGGACAGTGAATAAGGAAGAGTGAAGAAGAGTTGATGCCTTTGAATTGTGGTGTTGGCAAAAAATATTGAATACACCATGGACTGCCAGAAGAATGAACAAATCTGTCTTGGAAGAAGCACAGCCAGAATGCTCTTTGGAAGTGAAGATGGTGAGACTTCTTCTCAAATACTTTGGACATGTTATCAGGAGGGACCAGTCCCTGGAGAAGGACATCATGCTTGGTAAAGTACAGGGTCATCGAAAAAGAGGAAGATCCTCAAGGAAATGGATTGACACAGTGGCTGCAACAATGGGCTCAACCATATCAACGATTGTGAGGATGGCGCAGGACCGGGCAGCGTTTTTCTGTTGTCCACGGGGTTGCTAGGAGTCGGAACCGACTGGACGGCAGCTAACAATCTAATACTCCACACTCTAGCCAGCCCTTGAAGCACTTGCTGGCCTCCTGGCCTTTGCACCTGCTGTTCCACCTGCCTGGATGCTGTTCCTCCCACTCCAGCCGACTAACAACTCCTGTGTATAGACAGGAACCCGAGGCTAGAAAAGGGTAGAGAATGCCCTCAAGTTGTCCCTGTGGAGGGGGAGGGGCTACTAGGACACCAGGTGGGGTCCCTGTCCCCAACATGGGATCTCCAGGTGGTCTCCTCGTCCTGTGAAAAGTGTTGAGAGCAGCCCCCAGCACATGGTAAGCCAGCTAGCGCCACGGTTAGAGTGTTATGACTATTAATATTATTATTACTATTATGTACACATCCCATCCTTCAATGCTAACCTCCATCTGAGTCCTGGACCAGCTGGCTCCTTGGGGCTCCTCCAAGCCATCTCCTTCCCCCCATTCCCTCACTCCATAAAGGCCTCTTCTCCCCGTCCCCCCAGGTGCTTGCTGCCCACTGCCCAGGGGGGACACTGAGGCCCAGAGAGGGGGCAGTGGGCACCCCAAGGCCCTACACCTGTGTCTCCCCTCATGCTTCCAGAACCCCCACTACTCCAGGCCCTGAACTAGGACCCCCCTAGCCAAAGGGGGGTGGCACAGAGGTTCAGAGAGGAGGCAAACTGGGGCCCAGACACCCCAAAGTGGCTTTTTACAGTCTTTATTTCTTTGGTGAGGCAGGACCCCAGGGTGGGGGGGTGCCTTGTTGGGGGCTTGGGTGAACCCCCAGCTCCAAGGCCACTTTCTGGACATCACAGGTAAGGCACTTCCAGGGGACGGAAGGAGAGTGAGCAACACAGTCCTCCGCACCCCTCACTCCCTCCCCCTGAGACCCCGACCCCGTTTCCGGTCTGAGCCTCTGCTCTACGGGAAGACACAGGAGGCGGTACCCGGTTTCAGTCCTGACTGAGTGGCTGCTGTCACAGACCCCTGGATGGGTGGACGGGAGCTGGGTCTAGAACTCTGTCTGGGGCTGGCCTGTGGGACCGTCCCTGGACCCCTGCCCTGTGGACAGAGCAGTGGGTACTAGGAGGCGCTGCTTACACCCAGCAGGGTGACGCCAAGTCAGGCACCAGTGAGCTCCTGTGTGGGCACCCCATCCTGGGCCAGGGGTGAGGAGGGGCTCCTGGTTCCCTCTGGGTCCCGCCCTACGTGGGGTCGGTCCGCTGACGTGGTGGCCCTCCTCTGACCCTGGAGGCCCCACCTGATACCACAGCCACTTTGTGCATGGCGGCCACAGAGGTGCTGGTGGATTTCTTCAGTGGAGCCCCAGGCCTGCATCAGGAGGCATTGGCTGGATGTAATGGGGAAACTGAGGCAGTGTGGAAGGTGAGAATCTGGAACTGGGCTGGTGGGGGCCAGATGTCTGGGGCTGTCTGGTCCCAGACTTATCTTCATGGACCAAGCTGCTACGGGGGTGGCTCTCTGCCATGGCTGAGCCCAAGGCCAGTCCTAGAAGGCCTGGAGCTGGGACAGGAAGCAGCTCTTCAAAAGTCATGCAGAGAATTCCCGGCCCTCGTGGTCCATCGAAGTGTAGGTAATTAATCTAGGCTCCCCAGAGAGGGCACTGGGAGCAGAAGTATGGGGTCCGCCTGGAAAGAAGGGCGCCTGGGGAGGGGCAGGGCTTCCTGGAGAAGTCGGCCTAAAGCTGAGGCTCAGTGCCCTGGCTCTGAGCCCCACCCCACCCACAGGCCCTGCCCCCAAGCCTCCTTCCAAGATGCTGGTGGGGGGCGGTGTTAGGGGGGCCTCCGGGGCGAAGTGTCCGTGGGACATAAATTAGACTCTGCTGTGGCAATAAATAAAACCGGGGGAGGCCTCAAACGCCAGGCCCAGGCCGGCCCCGCCGGCGCTCACACGAAGTTCTCCTCCTCGTGGTCTGACTCGGCATCTGACAGCTGGGGGTTGCCTGCAAAAGAGAGAAATTGGTCGGGGGTCCAGGAGCAGAGGCTGGGGTTAGACCGTGCCAGACGCCCTCGGCCCCCGGGACAGGCCTATGCGCTCCCAGGCCCCGGGTCGCTGAGCCCCTGCCCCGCGCGCACCTGTGCAGCTGCCCGGGTGGCGCACGCCGATGGAGCGGCCCAGGAAGCAGGTGGCCTGGCGGAGGTGGCACGAGGAGATGTAGGTGACGTTGTTGTTGCCGCAAAGCTCCTGACCCGGGCTGGAGGGCACCGGGCAGGGAGCAGATCGGCACACCACGCAGTGCGCGCTGCCCGTCTGGTCCACCACGCACGACTGCGGCCGCAGGCACACCACGTGCGCGCACGACTCTGCAGGATGAGCAGAGGGCGATCAGGACGCGAACCCCTCCGGGACGGCCGCGTCTGGGCCTCCCCTCCAGTCCCGACCCCCCAAGATTCCTGCCTTTTCTGATTCCACCCACAAACCCCGCCGTCTCCTCATGCCCCGCCCAGTTCCCGCCCCCTCCCCTCCCCCTTAGGCCCGCCCCGTCGCCCCGCCCCCACGTACTGCGGCAGCGGCCTAGGTACATGACGCGCAGGTCAGGGTGGCCTCGGCAGCGCGCGGCGCGCAGCTCGCACTCGTCGCGATAGGTGGCGCCGTCTGAGCCGCAGACCTGCAGGCGCGCGGGGAGCCCCGTGCAGTCGGGGGCGCACTCGCAGCGCGGGCGGCCTTCCAGCATGCGGCACGCCTTGCCCGGGCCGCACTCCACGCCTTCGCACGAATCTGCGGACACACAACACGCCGCGTGGGCGGGGGCGCCGGGAAGTTCTCGGGCCCCACGGCGCTCCGACTCCTCGGAGTTGGGGCGCCGTCCAGGGTCGAAGTTCGTCCGCGGTCGTGGGACGGGGTCGGGGTCTGCTGGGTTGCGAGGGTGGACCCGGAGTCGGGGCTGTCCTTAGGGGTGGGGACTCAGTGTGAAGGAGGGCAGGGCACTCTGTCCGGAGTCTGGGGGTACAGGGACAGCCTCTGGCTCCCCAGACCCTAATCCCCCTCCCCCTCCGCTCTGGGCCACGCCGCTCGGGCTGACGTCTGTTCCCTGATTTACGCGCGTTTCTGGGAAAGCCGGCGGGGGGCCCGGCTGCGTCAGCCGGAGGTGCTCCGCCCCGTCCAGGCGCGGGTCTATGAGTACGGCAGCGCGGCTGCCAGGACCTCCCTGGAGGAGGTGTCAGTGAGGCGGGGCGCTGGCCCCTGGGCCACCGGCCTGGGGCGCATTTGCTGGGGACGGGGCCGCCCACGCCCGAGCTCCCTCCAAACCAGAAGTCTCCCTTCCCCAGACCCATTTCCCAGGTGAGGAAGCTGAGGCCAGGCAAAGGAAAGCATCTCTCTGGGGTTCCTTCCCCTATTCGAAATGTAAATCTACCCCACTAATGCGGTTACTGTCCCTACTTTATAGACGCAGAAACTGAGGTCCCATAAGCGCTGTGTGCAGGGGGTGCTCCCACAGAATGGGAGCTCAGGACGGACCCCCCAGTTCTGTTGTTTGTGGCAAGAGTGTGGATTCTGAACACAAGCTGCTAGGTTTACACCCAAGCCTCAGTTGCCTCCATGTGCAAAGTGGGGCTGATGGGGAAGCCCACCTCCCAGGGGGGTGCTGAGCGCGAAATGAGGGGACGATGGCCAGCGTCACTGGCTGCACAGTGTCCCGGCCCCCCACGTTGCCCCTGCCTGGGCATGTGGGCCGCACCTGGGCCCTCCCACGCTGCCCGCCCACACCCACATCTGGAAACGCTCCGCCCGGGGCCTCAAGCAAGCAAGAACGGAAGTGGGGGGGGGACGACCAATGGAGCCAGATGGGGGGGCGTGTCCTGGGCATCTGGTACCATACCAAGGCCAGGCACTTTTTGAAGTCTGTTCTCCTACCCAAAGCCAGAGAGGGGTCTGGAGGGAGCTGGCGCACGTGGCAGTGAGTTAAAGACCACAGGGCCAGGCCTATCCCGGGATTAACCGCATACCAGCCCCTTCAGGTCTACAGCCCAGAGCTCTGGCCTCCTTTCTGCCCCCTGCTCAGGCCCTATCCAACTCCACTGTTTCTGTTGATGCTCTTCCCCCAGTACCTTCTCCCACAGGCAAACTCCTAATCATCCCCCAGCACCCCAACTCCCATGCCCACCTTCTTCAAGTCATGCCCCAATGATTCCCTCTGGGCCCCTGCAGGCTCAGGGTCCCCCAAACCCTCCTCAAGGGCAGACAGTATGTCTTGATTCATTCATTCATTCATTCATTCATTCTGCCCTCAAGGAGCTCCCAGTCTGATGGAGCAGGCAGAACTCCCAGTCTGCTAGGGGAGGCAGCATTTCTCAGAGCATGGTCCAGAAGGCACGTGCTTGTTAAACACGTCCCCACTACAGACCCCTGGAGTCAGTCAGGAAAATCCACCTTCCCAGGAGTGAGGTGTGAAGCGAGTACACCTCCGCCAGGTGGGCTGGAGGTACGTGCAGGTGGGAAGGGTCATCCCAGAGGCTGGAAACCAAGTCCTCGGAGCTCCTTCCTGAACCCTCAGAAACTTAGAGAGGCCACGTAACGTGAAAGTCCCCAAAACCGCCCCCTGAGGCTAGGCCCCCTGGAGAGCCTCCTGTCTGAGCAGGCTCGCCCTTGCCCCACACACCCCGGCGATGGGGGATCCTGTCCTTCCACCTTCCACCCCAGCAACTGGTTTTGCTGGCACTTAGTTGCACGTACCCGCCTCCCCTTGCCTGTGCCAACATCAGGGTCTCACCTTTGCAGGGCAGGCAGTGGACGAGGCCCAGGAAGCCCAGCAGGCTGATCTTGTTCCCTGGGTAGGTGAAGTTGGACCAGGCAGTGTCCACGCTGCCGGAGGCACAGCACTCCTCCTGGCTCACGTCTGTCCGCAACACCAGGCTGCAGGTGGCTTCCTGGCCCTGCTGGAGCCAGCAGACACCACCTGCAGATGGAGGAGAGGGGCTCTTTCTATGGGGGGCAGGAGGTGCCTACCTGTGCCTTCCCACTTGGCCACTTCAGACACTCAAGCCACCTCCAGGCCCTCGGGGCTGCACACAGCTGGCGCTCAGTAATTTCAGAGGGGGTGATGTGCCCCCAAGCCAGGAAGGAGGGGCAGAAGGATGCACAGGTGCCCCCCTCCCCAGCTCTGGATAACTTGGGGATCCTCCTCCTCTCAGAGCTCCACCACCAATCCCTGCCCATCCCCCAAAGCTCCCCCCTCTTTCCTCCAGGTCCCCCCAGCCAGCGCCTGGCATCCCGCCCACCCAGGCAAACCCAGGGACTGGCCGGCAGGGTCAGCAGCCCCAGGAGCTGCCTCTCACGCCTCTGCCCTCTGTCTAGACAGCACCCGAGGGCCCCGGAGCCCCCCTCGCCTGCAGCCCCCCCTCGCCTGGCCCGCCTCTTACTCACTCCAACTTGGGAACATTCTCCTCGCATGAGCTCACCGTCTCCCCGGGGAAACGGCCTTCGGGGAGGGGGCTCTGCTCTCGGCGCGGGGCTGGGCTGGGGCTGCTGGGCCGGAGGTGGGGGCAGATGGCCCCGAGTGTCCCCCTTAAATGGGGGCAGGAATGGACGTGGCCCCCATCTCCAGGCGCTCAGTGGCTCCCAGGCACTGACGGAGCACCTTCCAGGGGTGAACTCTGGGAACCCAGGCCCACAGAGCCCATTTTGTAAAAGGAGAAACTGAGGCAGGGAGCAGGATGTCACTTGCCCAGCGCCCCCACCAAGTGGCAGGTGTGACATTACAAGCCCCCAGCCTGCCTGTGCCAGACCCGGGAAGGCCTGAGGCCCCAGCCGGAGGCCCCGGCTCCCGCCACCCAGTGCTGCATCCAGGCCCAGCTGGTCCAGGTTTGAATCCTGGCTTTGCCACTTACAGGCTGGGTGACCCTGAGCCTCAGTTTCCCCACCTGAAAATGGGAGATGAGTACCCTGCTAGTTGGCTGTTGTGTGGTTTCAAGGAAAGAAGGGTAAACACTAAGCGCTCAATAAACGCCAGGCGCCATTAGGATTACTATTATTGATAATAATGGTGGGAGATAGGGAAGTCTGCCCTGCTGACCTATCCGTGACCCTCCTTCAGGCCCTTAGGGGCTGGGGGTAGGGCGCCCCAAACCCTCCCAGCGCCAACCGCACTGGCCACCGCCTCTCCGCCCACAGCCGCCACCGCCGCGCCCCCCAACATCTCCCGTGGGCCGCATTCCGTGCGGGCCCACGTGGGTGGCCCACCCCACCCGCCCCTTCCTGCAGCCCCACTCACCCGGCGCTGGGTTCCCCGGGCTCACGCAGCCCACGAAGCCCACAGCCCAAGCCAGGGCCCCCCAGGGCAGTGGCCACAGTGGCCCCGGCGCCCCGGGACGCATGGCGGTGGCTGAGACGGCGGTAGCGGCGGGCGGGCTTGCGGCTGGGAGGGCGGGCAACACGAACTTCCCAGCGCGCAGCGGCCAGGCGCTCCCTATAAAGGTCCCGCTGGCTCCGGGCGGGGCCGGGCCGGGGCGGGGCGCTTGACTGGCGGGGCTGGAGGCTGTGTCTGCGCGGTGAGATGCGTGCAGGGGCTGGGCCTGGCGACCCCGGGGTGGCAGCTGGGGGCGGGGGCGGTGTCCAGTCTGGGAGCCGCGGGAGAATTTATCTAGGAAGGTGCGGCTGGAGGTGGGACCTGGGGGCCGAATTGTGACTGTCTTGGGTGGAACTGGGGAGTGGGTGCCTCCAGGTGTCCTGTAGGATTGGCGCTCGGGTCCCCAGTGGGTAGCTGGGATGGGGGTCCTCTGCTGTGGGGCTGTGAGCAGGCGGGTGACCCTTGGGAATGTGTGTCTGTGGATCTGTGGTTGCATGGGGTTCCCTTTGTGGCCCAGTGTGGCCTGGGCCCCCAGACCCCCACACCTCAGCCCAAACCAGCTCCCTGCTCACACCTGCAGACCACCCACCAGGCCACCTGGCCACTGGAGCCAATGGTCGCGTGGCGGGAGGTGCGGGCTGGGAAGGAGACTGAGGCAGAGGGGTGTGGCAGGGAGACCCAGAGAAACAACAGTCCCAGCAACACCGACCACAGCAATAATCATACTAAGCAACACACCCACAGCGCTCGCTGCATGCCTGGCCCTTGCCCCTGATGCCCTAGGAGCCACACCTCCAGCCCCCAAACCTCTGCAGACGTGTCTCCAGGCCACAGCAACAAGAATTTATTGGTTTATGAGGGTTACAGAAGGCCCTGGCACCCCGCCGCCCTGGAATCCTGGGTTTTCCAGGAAGATCGGTTCCAGATTACGAAGGCGGTGACATAGGTGTAGGCCTGGGAGACACTGGCTCCGTTGCGGCTTCGGTGCAGACGGACACTTTTCCTTTTGTAGCATGGATCTGCCTACCTTGAGGACCTTCAGAATTGTCAGGGCACCTTGAAGTCCCTGTGGGCTCTGGAGACTCATTCTCTGTGTTTCTAAGAAATAATTATTAGTGATCATCTCTTGGGGTCACAGGAACCAAGGCAGACAGTGCTGTCCTCCTGGAGCTCATGCCTTGTAGGTGCCATAGGGAAAAAAAGCACAGACAAACGAATCAATATATAATTGCAAAGAGCAGTAAATGCGTGCCATGAGGAAAATAAAAGCAGTTGAGTGTTCCCCGGTGCTGTCTATGCCTCAGCACCCCACCCCATTTCTGCATCTGCTCCCTCCTCGTGCGTGAAAACTGAAAATCTGTGTCTGCATGCATGAGACCTGCCACCAGCCAGAGCCACGCCCAGACCCCTTCCAGGACCTTAGCCACCCAGCCTGACCCCTGTCCCCTGACAGTGGCCGAGGGCCAGGCCAGGCACCAAGGGAGGACGTCCAGCTGTCTCGGCCTGACCTTGGCCTCTGGCAGTCTCTGGGGATTCCCCCGGGTCAGGGAACAGGGCAGGGACGGGACCCTGTGTTCTTACCAAGGGAAGGGTGGGCGGGGGCTGCTGGACAGTGTGACCTTGTCCAAGAACTGACCCTGCCATGGCCCAGGCACCCTGGTCTGGGCTGTGCAAATCAAAGGGTCATTGTCTGGGCTGGCGTGGGTTCGTGGCCTCTCCGGGGAAGCCGAGGCCAGCTGCCAGCAGCCCCTGCTCCCCAGCCCGGCATCCCTCCCAACCCAGAGGCCTCTAAGAACTTCAGCCTAAGTGCTGGGTGACCTCAACAAGTCACTGACCCTCTCTGGAGAACCCCCGTCCCCGAGATACAAGTGCCAGCCTCGCTGCCTCCTCCCCTCTCCCAGCCTGCCCTTCTCCCTTTCAATGTCCCACTTATTCCCCTCACCCAGCCTCCACCACATCCCAGGTCTCCCAGCCTCTAGCCTCGCCCGCTACAGCCCACTCCTGTCGGCCTGGCCATGAGGCTCCTCCCCAGCCTGCACCTGCCATAGCTCCCCCTCACCCCTGCTTGTCTCCCCAGGCTTCTCTGCCCCTCGACCCTGGCAGGGAAATGGGATAATCCAGAGGGGTCACAGCCGTGGTGGAGGACACCCAGGTAGCTGCGGGAGACCCCGAGGCCGACCCTGACCAGCCTGGGGGAGATCTCAGAGAACTTCTCGGAGGAAGGGGATGTTTAAGTTGAGACTGGAAGGTTGGACCGAAGGGGGGCTGGGAACAGAAGTAGTCAGGATGTTTTGAGCTGTGAGGAAAAGAAAGGGAAACTCTAGCTTGGTTGGCTGATTCCCCATCTGTTCTGACTCATAGCCCCCAAAGAAGTCCACATCCTAATCCCAGAACCTGTAAATATGGTCCCTTAATGGCAAAAGGGACTTTGCAGACGGGATTAATGACGTAGACCTTGAGATGGGAAGATTATCCTGGATTGTCTGGGCGGGCCCAATGTGATCACCAAATCAAAACCAAGCCTACTGCGACCCTGACTCATGGTGACCCATGTGTTGGAGTAGAACTGCCCCACGGCGTTTTCTTGGCTGCAATCTTTACGGAAGCAGATCGCCAGGCCTTTCTTCCACAGTGCCACTGGGTGGGTTCGAGGCCGCCAACCTTTAGCTTAGTATAGGAGCACAAACTGCTTGCAGCACCCAGCGACCTCAGTGTGGTCAACAAGCGTCCTTGGCTGTGGAGAATCCTCCTCTCCGTGGTCAGGGAGATCGGCCTGAGGACTTGCCCAGCTGTTGCTGGCTTTGGAGACGTGGGAAGGGGCCAAGGAATGCAGAGGCCTCTAGAAGCTGGAAAAGACAAAAAACGCATTCTCCCCTGGAGCCTCCCGAAGGAACTGGCCCTGCAGACACCTTGGTTTTAGCCCCTGAGACCCGTCTTGGACTTGCGCCTCTGAAACCATCAGAGAATAAACGTGTGTTGTTTGAAGCCACGCTGTTCGTGGCCACCTGTCACGGCAGCCACGGGAGGCTCATATGAGCGCCGACTGTGGGCCAGGCCCTGCGGAGGGCTCTGAGGTTGAGGTCGCTGCCACAGCCTGGCCGGAAACAAACAGAGCTGTGAACGCGGCGGCAGGGTGGAGGTGATGGTGATGCGGGTGATCAGCAGCGAGGCTGCGAGCCTCTCGGAGCCAGTGACCCTGAGGCCTGGAGGCAGAAAGAGGCGACTGGCAGAAGCACAATCCAGGCTCCGTCACCTGGCCAGGCCGCATGACTCAGGCTTGTGGCCTCCTCCCTGGGCCTCAGTTTCCTCCCCTGTGAAATGGGGAGAATTGCTTTTCTTTCTGCCTGAGGTGGTTGGGAGGAGTAAAACCATGCCAACCCAAAAGACAAACGAACTGGTGGCTGTCAAGTCAATTTCAACTCCTAGCGACCCTGTAGGACAGAGCAGAACTGCCCCCATAGGGTTTCCAAGGAGCAGCTGGTGGATTCAAACTGCTGACCTTTTGGCCACCAGCCGAGCTCTTAACCACTCGCCACCAGGGCTCCGAAAGTACACCAGTTCTTGGTTATTATCATTTACGAGCTGGCTCAGCACAGCAGGACTAGGGTTCGCTCTCCCCCGAGACACCAGTATACCAGCTGTGCCATGCTGCCCCCGTCAATGCTCCCCAGGCCGCCCCTAGCTCACACCGGGGCCCTTCCGAGGAGGACTGGGCTTCCCGCACTTGCTTCGTTCACTCATTCATCTTCTTGGCCCGTTGTGTCTGCTCAGGCCCAGTCTTAATGATGAGGGGGCTATCAGGAAAATAGACGTGAGGACTCCATGGGCCTGACCCCAGCCCACACTCATCAACGGCATCAGGGTCACAGCGGAGGGACGTCCCAGGCAAAAGGAAGAAGGAGACATGGATGGCCGGCCGGCGGGTGGGACCCAGAGGGCACATCGCCACAGGCTGCAGACTAGCGAGGGGCTCTGTGCTGGCGCTAACGGTCCGGTCTGATCAGCAAACAGCTACGCTCAGCAAGGGAGCTTCCAGGAAGCACACTGGGCATGGGGATGGCAACCTCATCCCAAATAATTCTGCCGAGGCAGACACACCTGGACAGACGCAGAAAGAGCAGGAGAGGGAAGCCGTTCACAACGCGGGCAAGGTGCCCGGGGCCTTGGTACTATTCTTGCAACTTTTCTGTCTGTTGGAAATTATTTAAAATAAAAAGTGAGCCCCCAGACCACCGTGAGATACCACTTCACAGCCACTAGGATACCTGTTATCAGAAAAATGAGAAATAACAAGTGTTGGCGAGGATGTCGGGAAACCGGAACCCTCCTGCATTGCCGGCAGGACTGTAACATCACGCAGCCACTGCAGAAAACTGTCTAGGGGCTCCTCAAAACGTTACACGTAGAACAACGATGTGACCCAGCAACTCCACCACTAGGTATAGACCCAGGAGATTTGAAAGCAGGGACTCAAACAGATACTTGTTCACCAATGTTCACTGCAGTGCTATTCACAAGAGTCAAAAGGTAGAAACAAGCCAAGTGCCCATCCACAGGTGAATAGATAAAGACAACGTGGTCCATCCACACAATGGAATATTAAACCAAAAACCAAACCAAACCCACTGACGTCAAGTCGATTCCGACTCATAGCGACCCTATAGGACAGAGTAGAACTTCCCCAAGGAGCACCTGGTGGATTCGAACTGCCGACCTTTTAGTTAGCAGTCATAGCTCTTAACCATTGTGCCACCAGGGTTTCCAATGGAATATTACTTGGCCATAAAAAGGGATGAAGCATGGATTCATACTACAATGTGGATGAACCTTGAAAACATGACACTCAGTCACAGAAGCCAGGCATAAAAGGATAAGTATTGTAGGATGCCGCTTATGTGAAATGTCCAGAACGGGCAAAACCACAGGGACAGAAAGTGGATTAGTGGTTGCCAGAGGCTGGAGGGAAAGGAGAATGGGGAGTTATTGCTTAAAAAAAAAAAACAAAAAAACAGGCCCTCATTTCCATTAGCCCCATTTCAAAGAAAT